CCCCGCCCCCGCCCCACCAGCTCCGCCCAGGTCCAGCCGTGCTCCGCCCACACCGAGGCCACGCCCCAGCCCAGCTCCGCCCAGGCCCCGCCGTGCTCCGCCCACAGCGAGGATGATTGGCCCACACCACCACACCACCTTTCCCCTGCAAAATAAGATTTTTTTGCCAGAGGGCAAGGGACGGAGAGAGAAAGAGCCCCATGTGGCACGAACAGCCTGCAATCCCTCTCCATTTTCTATCCTGCCGGAATGCTGGGCATGCACACACAGGTCCGAGTGGTTTTCCAAGCAGCTGCTGTGCAAAGCCATTTCCTCACATAGGTATCCAAGAGCCACCAGCCCCACCGCCAACCTGAAGGGCCTTCCCTAGGGACAGAGCACACAGAGGTCAGCATCTGCAGTTTCCTTAACTAAAACATGGACTGACTGCTTTTCTGCGTTTGGTTTTCTGTAACTTAGATTTAGTTTACCTACGGTGAGCCAGGCCGTAGCCACAAAGGCCCTGGCGAGGCGTTCCATCCGAGTGCTGTGGCTTGGTTTCAAGGGGAGCTCCCATGAGCACTGTCACAAACAGCCACAGCAGCGGCAGCGCAGGTGCGGAGGGGGGTGAGCGAGCTGCCAGGCTTAGACTAGCAGAAACACCGTTTCCTCTAAGCTTACCTTTGCCAAAGCAGTGCAGGGCCTGCCCGTGGCCTGGTGGTTAGAGTGACAGGGTCCCACGTGGCCAACCCCACGGTTCAAATTCCAGCCCCAGGGTTTGAAAGACACGCTGGGTGCACGTGTGCCTCAAGTCCCAATGGGATGGACACAGAGGAAAAGGGATTGCGGATGCCATGACCGCGACATGCCTCTGGGCAGCACACCCCACCCCCTCTGCGGATCTCTCTCTGTAAGCCCCCTCTGGCAATTTATGAAAAAGGGATTAAAAATAATTACGAAGTTGCGACGTTCTTTCTGTACTTGAAATCAGGAAAAAAGATGTTTTTCTGGTCTCAAACCTTTTCATAGGCTCTGGCAAAGGTCACAGCCCACGGCACACACCTGGAGACCACACGGCCCACCCATGGCACATGCCTAGAGACCACACGGCCCACAGCACATGCCTGGAGACCACAAAGCCCACCCATGGCACATGCCTGGGGGCCACACAGCACACCCATGGCACATGCCTGGAGCCCACACGGCTCACAGCACATGCCTGGGGACCATAGCACACGCCTGGAGACCACACGGCCCACAGCACATGCCTGGGGACCACAGCACATGCCTGGAGACCACACGGCCCACGGCACACACCTGGGGGCCACATGGCCCACAGCACACGCCTGGGGACCACACAGCCCACAGCACACACCTGGAGACCACACACAGCCCACCCATGGCACACGCCTGGAGACCACACGGCCCACAGCCCAGGGACACCGGCTCCTGGAACAGACGGCCCAGCACTGAGGGTCACGAGTCACTGATCAGAGCAGCCACGGTGGAC